TAATGTTAAATTAGCTCCATCTTGAATTAGCCAAATTACAGATTAGCTAAATTAACTAAAATAACATGCTAGCTAAAAAGACATGTTTTACAGTATTTATATTAAAAAGTATGAAATTAATGTTAGCAATTAACATTCATTTGTGATTATGGCTTTAAATTAATATCAGTTGTACATTTCCACACTGTTACGAATAATTGCTGTTAGATACATTCATGGATTATATCAGATATTCAAACCTGTATTTCACAGTGAAGATGGAATTTGACTACCGGTATCTACATGTTATATATTTATAGTTGGCTTTGTGTGTGAATTGTGTGGAAAAGTTATTTGTTCTCAAACTAGTGAAGTGTATGCGTGTTAATTTCTCTTGAAAATAGACCTTTTTGAGTTATTTCACTGCCATACGCCATGAACCAGGGTCTCATCATTAACTGATGTACTATTAGTTCCATTTATTGTGAAGTGGGTGCGAAACCACTAAAACCACTAAATTCTTCCGCTAGAATATTACATGATTTAAGGCCATTTACAGGGACAAAATTTCGTGATTGTCAGTGACTAATGGACCTCAGCGAAATTTGTCTGCTACGAGCTAATTAATAAATTTTTCTTAAACACAAAATTTTCAAAAATTATTATTATTACTCGCGAAATTACTGTAAAATCTGTATTAAAAGCCGCGGCTTCTATTAAAATGATACAATGCAACAGAGGGGATGCGGCTTCTATTAGAGCATCTACACATATGAGAAATGGTGAATTTTTGGGTCTCAATTGTTCAAAAAGAATGGGTGCGGCTTCTAGTAGGGATGCGGCTTCTAATACAGATTTTATGGTACTCGCGAAATTACAGTGGTAGACAAAAGATAGAAAATTTATTATATCATTGCCAAACACTGTTAAACGCCATATTGCTTTCTAATCAAAATTTTGAAGCAACAGTTTGTACACTTTTCATGATTTTTTTCTTTATAATATCTTGGTTAATTTTGGACTAAATGAACATATTGGTATGTTCTTAACGAAAAGTTTTGAAAAAAAAAATATTTTGTGAAATGTGAGTGTTATTTTAAATTTGGTGCTCAAAGGGTGTGGTGATTTATTTTTGGCTGAAAATTAAATTTTAAATTTCCTATCCCAGGAGAAATTAATTTTTAGTCAATATTGCATCAGCAGCAACACAAAATTGATATTCATGAGCCGCAATTATTATTATACCAATATCATAAATATTGCACACAATTATTAGGTCAAAATAAATGTTCATGTTTCAGGGCATTATATACATCACAATATTGTTTAGGTGTTTACATTTGGAAACTCAGAGCAATTTACATGTATAACAATTTCAGAAAAAATTTAAAATATATTGTTTCTGTTGATTTTTGAAAACAAATCCACTAGAAATATATATTTTTTTTATTTTTTACCTAACAGGTACTTTTGATATACTTAATAAAAGTTTTTGTGAGTCAAGAAAAACTGCTAATTTAAAATCAAATTTAAATATGTCTTACAGTATATACAGAAATGAGTCACCATGTTTTTTTGTGACATTTATTTCTCCCCATGAATCAATGAATTTAACTGTTTAACTATAATATTTTTTTTTCTTTTCTAAGCCCTTCCCTTTCTATTAAATCTATGGGCAGGGCATTACATGTGTTTAAGAGTGTCAAGAGATGTGATATAGATTAAAAAGGTTAAAAGGGCACTATTTCACATTTCAACTACAAATTGTAGTCTGTGTGCTAAGCTAGACATGAATAAATCTGATAAGCGTCATTTGCAACTCTGGTATTTGATAAAGCAATAAATATTAACTGAACACAGATATCCTATCACAAAATCCTATATTTTTTAGTTCAAGGACAAAAAAAAGTCTGAACTTCCTGTAATGATAACAGTTCCTAATAGATCAGGTACCAAAAAAATATAATACCCCCGAATACAATATTTGGCCCCCCAAAATGGAATATTTGCCATCCCCTCTTCACAATATGTTGTCCCCAATACTATATGCCAATTCTCTAATTTTGGTGAATATTTTTGTCATTTTTGGTAAAAAGTGATATTTTTAACTTCTTGTTAAAAACTGCAAGTCCAATTGCTTTGATATTACATATATAGGTACTACATATGGTTCTAATTCAGATCTGTTCATTTCATGATGATATCTTCAATTTTGGATTTTATTTTATTTTGAAAATAAACTCCAGTGAATATACCTTTTTTTCTTATATTTTAACTTGTCAAAAGTTAGTGAAAATAATATTAATACAGAACACCCAAAAAGTCCTTTCAGTGAAAATTAATTCCAGCTAAAATAAAGGCATAATAATAATAATTTCAATGTATCATTAAAGTTTGTGACTCAATTTATACATTTTGGACCTAATAATTTCATTGTAGAGTATATGTCAAAAATTGATCCATGTACTATGCAATTTTCATACCATGCTGTTAAGAATCTTACAATGCCATGCATGTTGTGCACTCTACAGGGACAATGCCAATGTCAACAACACTTCAAGTTTTTGTTGCTAATGGTTTTTAGAGGTCTGCTAAGAACTTGTTTTAATTATGTATTTTATTTATTTATTTTTATTATTTATTTACTAGAAGTTTTTCAAAGTTTTTGTGATCTTGAAAGCCTACAAGGTACAATACATGTAAGTTAAAATAAAAAAAAATAAAAAAAAATATTGCAAAAATGGGATAAATTTGTAAAATAAAATAAAAAATACATGTTGCATAATACATCAGATTTTAATCAGATTGCCAAAAACAGCCTTAATTTCACTGAATTTTATATTACAGTGAAAATCAAATTATATTGTATAATAATTCTGTAGGGCTGGAATTACTGTAACAATTCATGTTTACCAAATTGTAAAACTTTAGAAGTAGAAGTAGGTGAAAATCATGATATTTTGCTGCTATGGCGATATTTCTCCAAGATAATATCACAGTAACTTGTGAAGGCTTTATAGTTTATCAGGTTACTAACATTGAATTGTTTACACTGATAAAACAGTATCATGTCTCCATCAGACAAGGATTCTAATTCGAAACCATAACTATTCCCATTATTTCTAGTATTAATCAGGTACATATTTTTAATTAAGAAAACTACATGTATATTTATTATTGTTACAAAGCACATCTGTATTATTATAATAATAATAATTTAATAATAACAATAATTTAATAATAATAATAATTTATTGACACAACACCGATATAGTACAATACGGCAGTATGGCCACTAAATACAACTATTAACTACATTTAAAATAGAATTAACATATTTGGCAAAAGGTATCATAAGATGAGTATCCAAAGCACTTAACAAATAAATGAATTTACATTCTTGATTTAGTTTTTCAAATTCTGGAAAGCTAATATTGTGAAAAAAAATTTCTCTATTTGATTTAATATCTGAGTTTGAACAGTTCATAACATAGTGTTTTTCATCACCCACTTCAGATGAGTCGCACAATTTGCATATTCTTTGTTTTTGATGGATATTATTGTATCGCTCTTTCTCAATTGGCAAGTTATGGCTTGAAATTCTTAATTTTGTAATTGCTGATCTTATTATATTAAAATATGGGAGAAAAGATGAAAGTTTGGAAATCTAAAACTATCTACAACTACAAGGTCAGTGACAAGATCCAATAGAGCTGGTGGCAGCTTGTTGAGGTCATTTTGATTAACAGTTCTCTTAAATGTTATGTTAAATAATGTATGTAATAATATACCAACTGTGTTTGGCTTTCCAATAAGATTTATTTGACCTTGAAGTATTCTTGAATTTCCAGACATTGCACAGAACCTTAAGATAGTTTTATTGGCAGATCACATCAGATTAATAAAGTTAATGAATTATTATTTTTTATTTTCAAAAATGGTTGATATTAGTAGATAGGAAGGTTTATATAACTTTCAAAATGTGTTTGCATTCAGCATTTATTAATAATAATAAATTTATTACACTACTGAACCATCAGCTGATTCAAAAAGTATTACAAGACTAGGACAATTCTAAATACAATACAATACAATAATAACAAATAAAAATAAAATACAGACTGGGTTAAAAAGAAATGTTAACAAAAATTACTAGAATGAACACAATAAAAATAAAAACTGATCTAAATAAAGTACTAGTAATTTAGTCCCCCCCCTCCCATAGGTGAAGTGATTACAATTTCTATTTTGGCTTAAATATTGTGTTTTTTAAGAATTTTAAGTGTTATTAAATTCTTTACAAGTTTACAATTGTCTTGATAATGTTCATTTTCATTCCACAAAAAGATGGTGCCTTTTTGTCACAACATTCTTTTCTTTCTTTTATTTTTACAGTATTTTGTGTGATCTGTATTCAGAGGTAAATTTGATTTTAGAAAGTGATAATTATACTGAATTGATCATATCTGAGTCATTGATTGATTTTTCATTCATTGCAATATAAGTATATGTATCATAATTACCATGCAAATTCATATTTCATAATGTCTTCTATAATTGCCACCATATTGAATATTCTGCAGCACAAAACATGAGGCAATTTAACATTCAATTAAAGGGCGATGATTGCCGCGTCGCGCATATGCGACATTTGTATTGGTAAACAATTTTCCCACAATGCAATGAGTTCTTTTGATGATACGAATTTCACCTGGGCAAACGTCTCAGTTTGTATTCACAGGTCTGCGAAACAGTCAAAGCCACCATCTTTGTTTATATGAGACCCACATCTCACGCATGCATGGCATGACAACCACCGACCTCGGTCATCACAACAGATATAACTGAGGTCATGTCTGTTTAATTTATTATAGCTTCATAAGGAGTTAGCACTGATCTGTTGATTTGGAAAACAATTTGATTTGAATCTTATTTAATATAATTTTAAAAAATCTTGAAAAATGAATTCTGAGTTTCTAGGTTTGTAATGCTTAAAACTTCTCATTATTTCTTATTCACAGGTATATAGTACTTAGAAGATTTTTTTGTACGACGGCAACGCTTTACCTTTTAAGATGCATTACGATATTTGTGACGGCACTGCCTGAAACGGGACAGAATATTGACTGCTCTGCAAAGGTGAGGTAAATTAAGGTTCAAAGGTCAGTTTTTTCACAAAACACTCTTGGAGGCCAACAAACTATAAGGAGAATGTTATGTGTTTTAGTATATTATTAACTTGCAAGTACTAATAATGCACGTAAAATGTCACAAAATTTGTTTGTGTTCACTACATGTATAACTGAAAATGTCTGTATCCAATATAATATTTATATTTAAACTTAATATCAGATATAAGTCAATTTAACATTGGAATTTACAAATTGGTTTTGAACACCATATTTTCTCACTAAAATTTTGCCTGTTTTCACATATTTTTTCTTTATTATTTTTGATAATTTTGGATCAAAATGAATATATTTTCCTATTGGCTACGGATCCAGATCGAAATTTGTAAAAAAAATATGAACAAAATTCAGGTTTCATTTTGTGTAATGTGACAAAAGTTTACTTAAGCAACCAACAGATGACATGAATGGTGTATACAGTAAATGTATCACTATATTAAAGCAGGTGATGAAGGACCTAAGTTCCTTAATTTTTTTTCAGTCTTACTGTCATTATTTGATCAGAAATAAATTTCTTTTCAATGAAAATTTAATATGTTTTTCAGAAATTTCTTTTTTTTTTCTTTACCACGGGCAAGGCTTAAATAGTTTCTCTATGTTTAAGGACTACTTGATATATTGTTGTTATTTTCACACCTTAGTGGGTCAACACACTTTACTAATAAATCATCCTGGATATCACGTTACCATAACTCTGTTAATGACAGGCCACCCACCATTGTAATGGTCACCAACATATCAGAGAAAAATTACATATAAGTCACCAGTCACTAAGAACAGCAAATATTTCCGTGATTTATATACATAAAATACCATAGCAACAGTTGTTAATATGACACCCCGGGTATAAACATGAGTTGACCAAAGTAGACTAAACTTAATATGTTATACCTTGATAAAGTTTCATGATATAATAACAATGGAATACAATTAGCTCAAATAGATAGCAAATATCTTATGACTGGCACTATATCATTCAAGTGTATTAATTTTTTATTTGTTTTGAGTTTTCAGTGAGGAACAAATAAAAATTACTACAGTACATTAGTTTAATAAATCTGATACTCTAGGGTCAAGAATTTGATATCCTGTTAACCCATGCAGCTATTTAGGTTCTAAAGGCTGAAAATAATGCAATGATTGTAGTATGCATATTCAAAACATTGAAGTGTGTTCTGGCTAATTCACACAAAACATCAACACAGCTACTGTGACTGTTAGTTTAACCTAATGCGATTAAGAAATACAGTATAATGTCACAAGCAATTAACCACTGTATTTGTGGTTTCAGGGATGTTTTGGTAACATAATTGTTAATTTTAAGGTCAATTCAAACTGTGCCCATTTCATAATATGTGAAAAGTAACCACTAGACATTGTTGAAACACAATAATATCACTTACTCATTTAGTGGACATCTGAACCTACTAAAATTAATTAGATTAGTACAATAACCAAATAACTTAATAACCACTAACGTCATAGATATTGGCATATATTAAGGATACTCAGCCATGATGTCAAAAGTTCAATCTGTCCTGCATTGACCAATCAGATTGCCAGGATTTATATTTACCAGTAACTCCAAGTAGTCAGTACAAGCAAACCCTACTCATCAATGTAAATATCCTGCCTGGACACTGAGTCAATACCTTGTTTGTTTCTATGGTCAAAATTAATTATATTTTACTGATTCAATATACAACAAAATATAATTTAAATAGTCAATTTTGATAAGGGCTTTCTCACTTGTAAAAAACAGCCTATTTAATGAAACTCCCTTTTATTATTTCGATAGATGTCTATTTATCTAAACTTTTTTGTGGAATCATTTTGACTGTTTAAATCACGGTGGTCATCGTGTGTTCGAATTTCATGTAAATAAACAATGTATTTTACAAGTGTTGTATACGTCACTATGAGTCCCATATCGAACAAGCTGCGGCGTGTTGACCACTGCCCTTTAGCTTTTTACTTCGCTGCCGACAAAGTCGACACAGCGGAGCTGTTCATATTATTGATTGACCGTCGTTGTCGTCCGTCGTCTTCAATTTCACAATTTCAACTTCTTCTTCTAAAACGCAAATCAGAATGTTTTTGTTTTTTAATTTTGTTGTGCCGGGCGACAGTTCTGGACATTGAATGTCACTGTTGTCTCTCCTGACTTTTTTTGTATGTGCAAATTGCAAGTGCTAGTGCTGACACATAGTGCATTTGCCACAGAAGTCATATTCATGTTTGTTTTCAAATTTGATATGCAAGTACCTTGGATGATTTTTCCTTAAATTTGTTCATTTCATGCCAAAATCTCAAGTTCTCTATTTTTGGTGAATATTTTTGTCAATTTTGGTAAAAAGTGATTTTTTCGACTTCTCGTTAAAAACCGCAAGTCCGATTGCTTTGATATTACATATATAGGTTCTACATGTGGACTTCTCTCAGATTTGTTTGATTTGTGATGATATCTTTAATTCTCTAATTTTGATAAATAACAGCGGAGCTATCTCAGCTGAGAGGCTGCTTGTTTAAATTAATAACCTAAAAGTCATTTTGAAGTTTATTCATCAAGAAAAGTATTTGGTATATACAATTTGTATCAATAGATTCCAATCAGCCATCTGTTTTAGTCACAATTTTTAGAATATAAATCAAAGAAAGCTTAGAAAGAACTCCCATGTGCTGAGAGTATTGGAGACACATTAAATATAATTTGAAATTACTTAGCTGAAAACTAATTATGCAAATCAGAAAATTAACATGAACAGATTTGATTGTAAAACTAATGAGGTCTGCGCAATGTAACAAAAAACTCTATGTACCAAGTTTAATTGAAATGTGGTTAGAACCAAAAAAAATTATGCTAATTAGGGAAATAATATGAACAGAGTTTTACCCCAAACTAATTAGGTTTGTACATTGTCCTAGAGCATCTTTGTACTAAGTTTTATTAAAATGGAAATTAGTACTTTAGATATCAGTGTGAAAGCTTGAAATTGGTTAATTATGCTAATTGGGTAATTAATATGTACAGATTTTAACCCACAATTATCCAGGTCTGTCTATTGTCCTACAGCATCCATGTATAAACATTCATTGATATGTGATGATTAGTACCTGAGATATCAGTGTGAAAGTTGGAAATTGGTTAATTATGCAAATTAGGTGATTAATATGCACAAATATTTACCAAAAACTAATTCTGTCTCTGCATAATTCTAGATTCATTGAAATGTGATGATTAGTACTTTAGATATCAGTAGAAAAGCTGAAAATTAATTATGCAAATTAGGTAATTAATATGCACAATTATTTACCCTGAAACTAATCAGGTCTCTGCATAGTCCTAAAGGATATATGTACCAAGTTTCATTGAAATGTGATGATTAGTACTTGAGATATCAGTGGAAAAACCGAAAATTGACTAATCATTATGCAAATTAGGTAATTAGTATCCATGGATTATTACCAAAAACTAATCAAAACCTAGCATTTGTTCAGAGCATCTATGTACCAA